TCCGTAACCGTACATACATCTATTAATGCATTTTAGAACAAAACATACACTTACCTGTGGTATGATATTCCTTATCCTTATTTACCTTTTTTTCGTAATTTGTGCACTTTTGGAATACACAGGAAGGCATTTTATAAATTTTCTCGAATTAATTAGTACGTGCACTCGCTTACAGTGGTCCCAATTAGAACCCTCGCGTTTTGGGCGTTGGTGGCATATCTACCTCTTGCTTGTATATAACATCATTGGGTATAGGGGGCAAATCAATAAATAGGTCACCTGGGCCTCAATGCCGCTATTTTATTATTAAAATACCAGAATTGAGGCCCTGATTGTAAGTGACTACAACCGCCTAACTCAAAAGACAGAAGTACGTTGTCACTCTTTAATTGTATTCTCCCATAATTAGAGAGCGGGGATATGGCCGCTGTTTACCTACTCACTCAATGAAAAGCCATATAGAAATAGCTTGATAGCAGTTTTCTGAGACCGTAGTATCAGTCGAGTGAGCGGGCCTATGTGTGCCGAGATATGGTTTCATTACAATGTTTAAAATTGGAAGAAGTTAGGCTATCAACAGGTCTATAAACCCTTATTAAATATTTTATTATCTGTATTTATAAGCAAATGAAAAATAAAATAAAAACGATAATTTTTACGGTTGACGTCGCACGTCAGAAGCTATGGTTCGGGCATTTTCACACACACGCATAATTTGTCTGTAATTATTTTTCTACATGAGCTTAGATGGCAATAAAACTAGGGAAATTAAAAATTATCTAATTGATATTAAGTCTGTGTGTTTTTATACAGCTTACGTGTTGTTTATGGTAATCATGATACTTGTACCTTAAGTAAATATCTCGAAAGCGAAAAATTACGTAATAATTATACGTAGACATATACCTACTGTAAACGTAACCAGACATTTTCAAAATGAATATATTATACAATGCTATTTATTACCAAATTAAATATATTTGTATTATGGATTTGGGATGAGGAATAAATGTACATGCAATGTGTAGATATTATTATATTAGGTATGGCCGTATTTAAATCTAAACAAAACTGGTATAAACTTGAAATTTTGACTTTGTTTTTTAGCTTGTAAACAACCACTAGAAAGGATTTTTTGAAATTGCACCAATAAGGGAGTAAAATAAGGGGTGAACGGTTGTGTTAAGGTTCATCACTTTCAAAGTTAGAAACAGGAAATAAGAAATAATCTAAATCTAATAACTAGTTTTAAATAAAAAGGAACCTGCATCTGCCAACAAATTATTGTACAGTTTGGTAGAAGTTTGTAAACTATGTAAGTAATAGGTAAGTTTTATTCATGAAAATTAACATTTATTCATATTTGTTGCGGGCAATCTCAGAAACGGGTAAAACAATTTCCATTGTACACACACTTTGAGATACCTATCTGACAGTGACTAACTTTAGTTTGGATATATGTATATAGTAGTCTAAATTTCAATACATAGCAATTAGATATATATAATCCTGCTGAACTTTGGACATAGGTACAAGTTATATCAGATATGTCGCCTAGAGCTAGAATGGCAAAAGGACTTATCTTTTTATTAACTCTTGAGTTTAGTATAATCAAATGATAGCCGACGTAAAAATAGAGGTATTTGGAATAATAAATCACCGTCATTCCTCTCGAAGCACACGGTGACCCTTTTAAAAACATTTGTCCGTTTACAATAAAAGCAAACAGTAATTCTATACCTACTTCTTAAAACCCGTTGTATACTAAACATACTTCTGCGAAGTAATTTACGGTTTTATTATCGACAACAAATTAGTATTCTGACAAATGATTTGTTCTCGGAATTAATAAAATCGGCCGAATGGCTTATGTTTATACAATTTTAAAAGTGACTTGACAATTCACGGGTTCAATTCTTATTTAGTACAAATATTTGTGCCCAAACCCTATCCGTGTAGATTAAAAATACGGAGTGTCACCAAGCCTGTTTATCCCGTGGGTGTCGTAACAGCCGACTAAGGGAGCAAAATACGCAGGACAAAAGCATTGCAAAAAATAGGCAACTTGACACAAACCCTATACCAAGCTGTCTGGCTAGCGTGGTATAGTAGGCTAAAACCTCCTTTCTAAGGAGAAGCCTTTGTCCAACAGTGAACTATTTAAGGTTGTTGATGCTGATGATGATGCTGATTTGTACCCATGATATGTTATGTAGCAAAAAATGTAGCGAAAAACGTAATATATTTGATTATTGGTCTTTTAGAATGCATAGTTAAAGGCTTAAAGCTATGCTTACTTTAAGCACGAAAGTTATAAAATAAGTTATGAAAGAAAATTAGGTTAGTGATCATAACTGCTGAGGAAGAGATCGTGAGTTCAAATACCAACTTTAAGAGAAATAATGTGACAAGTACGATCATTTATTCCGTATCTGAGTGTTATTGCTCTGTATTTATCTATCTATACAAATAAATGAAATTGAAGTGTCTGCTAATAATGTCAAAATAATTGTTTTTTTCATGCTCACACGGGTATTTGCGTGATACCTATGCCAAAAAATCAGTTTTTTTTTTTTTGTCTGTCTGTCTTTCGATCTGTTTCTTCTAACTACAATCTTCTAACGGCTGTACCAATTTTGATAATATTTTACCACCAGGTAGCTGTCTATCTGTATAAGGAGTAACTGAAGCTTTTTTTCTCTCAGAAAAACCCTAAAAAAATTTGCCCGGTCCGGGAATCGAATCGAATAGTTTAAAAATATATTAGCATCTTTAACAGCAGTCTGCTTCTGGTTCTTTAACAAGCTCTACCTAATTTGAGATCAGAACGGCATTTTGAGAGATGTGTGATAACATAATATAGCGGTGATGGCAATAGGGCTTACTACACTACTCTTAAACAATTCGTTTAATTTTTTCAAATCACTTTAATACATTGTAGGAAAAAGAACATAAAAAAAATATTTATCATACGTTAGTCAAACTTGATCAAACAAGTGATACACATTCATGAAGAACTTTGTTTAAATCTACCTTAACAAATATAACCTCTAAGTACGCTGAAGCCTTCCATATAACTAGTAAATCGAGAACATTACCAGTTTATAGTTCTGAGCGTAGAGAACAAGCCGTAACGGGCCGCAATGTGCCGCAAACGGCCGTAGGGCTATAACGCGGGGAGGCTCCGACGGAACATGACCGACGGGTAAGATACGACCACTTTAGGGTTAATTGGTTGGTTCGCGTCACAGTTGACAATTGAGGTGTTCAGTTTAGTATTCATTATTAGTAGAAAAATAGAAATCTTATTGAGTTAGTAAGTTATTGAAAAAAATGTCTTGGAATTATTTCAACGTTTAAAAAAATACATTAAATTAACCGTCAAAATAAAATATAATACTAAATTATTTATATACTGAACTCTTTGGATTCACTTTTAAATAAGGAAATGAATTAATTTAAGGTATATTCTTTCAAAAATATCAACCGCATATTTCAATACAACAGTAGGTTCTTTTATCTTATAACAATTAAGAAATAAATAAAATTAAACCTCCTTTCAATAGAGAACTTATTCAAAAGTAAAAAAGAGTTTCGTTATCCTACAGACTCCTTCATCAAAATACATTTGAGGAGTTTATTTATTAGTAGGCCCACAACAGTTGAACTACCTTCCTTCTGACGCCATCCTCGAATCATCTCAAAATATCAAATTGATATCTACCTACTGGCACCCAAACTATACATACATACACACATATAGATCAGATTTAAATTGGTTAATTTACAGTATGGGTACAAATATGACGGATAATTGAACATTTTTGTTTCAGTGTACCTAACAATGAATAAATGTTTAGTCTGAACGTCAATTTATTGAAGATAAAATAAAGGCAGATGATCTCTCAAATCTATCATCATTATTGACAGCCTTTAGTAGTTTACTCAAATCCACTAGCACCACTCAAATCTATACATCATACTTGTTAACACGCGCTAATATATGAAATCAAATTTAAAAAGATACCCTTTCTATTGTATAGTTATTTTATCACTTTATAACTATATTTAAAAAGCAATAGACTTAATATCTGTATACTAAATATTTCGGAATTAAAATTATATAATCTTAACAAATAAAACAAAAAGAACCCGTCTTTTTGTTTTATTTGTTAAGATTATATAATTTTTACAACAATTACAACTGAAAAACAGTCTGATTATATTGCATATTTTATGTTTCCGCCCTGAATAGTAAAGAAACTTTTAAAATATTTGGAAAATTCACCAGAAATCAATTATCAAGAAAATTAACTTTCTCGTACACTGAGTATGAAATCTAACTTGGATGGAGAAAGAGTTATTAAATAATAATAAAATATGTGTTTCCACGTGTACGTAATAGCGTTATTTTATATATTTTAATAATAAATAAAATAGAAATGATATTTTTTTTTAACTTATATCATTTTTTAGCAATTATAATACAAGGATATCAAATTTAAAGTACATTTTATTTGACATAATAAATTAACCTCATTTGTGAAAATATATACCTCAGTACTGTAGAAGGTTTAGTATGTATGTCATAAACTGAAATATACTGTGTTATCACTAATTCTCAAGTTGTTAATTTTGCAAAAAACATCGTATTTGTTTATAATACATGCTTTAAGATATTAATAAATTTATTGAATAAATATTGTTCCCACACTTGATATTTGAACGCAACGCGTCGATGTCTTTTATGAGACTTTCAAATGAAAACTTTTAAAATTCGTATTAAGAAAACAATTTATGTAAAAAAAACCTACTTAATCTTTCTTACTTCTTACTTAATAAGTAACACACGCATATTGAATCACACAATGACTAACAGCTGTATATTAAAAATATTTATATCTGACAATTAATTTTAATATTTTATTTATCCAAAATTGAAATTAATTTATCAAAACTTTATTTAAAAAAAACTACTAAAATGTCTTTGAAAAGACTTACTAGAATTTAGTGAGATTACTATTTGAAAAAATAATTTTAAATGGGCTTAATAACTTACTGGATTGCAGCCGTTCTCTCCAAGCCATTGGATTGGAGACGAGGCCTTGAAAGCCTGGCCAGTAGAGCGGCTTATGTTGAAGGTAGTGCGCCATGCCTGCCGCCGCCGCCGCCAAAGATAACCTTGGAGCCAATAGTCCAGCACCGACATTGGTGCCAACCGACGGACGGGACAGTATGTGGTCAATCCCATGAGGATTCGGCGCCGGAGGAGGTGCCTCAGCTAAGGAACTCAGCGCCGCCAACGGAGCACCAAAGCCGTTCTCCAATCCTCTAGATAGAGGTGGCGATCCCCTCAACTCAGACATGTCGTTAAAGTTCACTGTATACATATGCACACCGGTATAGTCCAAAAGTGTAAGTCTGTCACTCGGTCATTGCTCTACGGTAGAGTTGATAGAGTCGATAGAGTTGGTAGAGTTCGAGCGTGCGTTCGCCCGCGGCCGCGACCCGACACCAAATGAAAAGCTCTCCAAGCTTTTGCTCGGCGCAAACAGAAAAAAAAACCTTGAATAGAGAACTACGCCCAGTCAATCTAAACCTTATATCGCAACGCCGCCCCTCGTACGGGCCGTCACTGTGAAACTATACCTGTCCCGTTCTGCTGTGTATACGTGTAAGCGGGATGGAACACGTGTGGTGTTAACACTCGCGCGTAGATTTAACGAATCGCTATTTAATGGCGCTTCTTGTCTCTTTATAATTAAGTCGGGTGCAGTTTTTGCGTCGCCCCCCTCGCCGCTCTCGTACCCACCTCCCCGGGAGTCCGGCCGCCGCTAAAAACTATTGTGGTAAGAATAATAAGCTGGAATGGCGGAGTTTATGTGGATAATAGCGGAAGGATCTCCGGTAATTTATTTGACAAATATTGTATTAATTGACAACACACTCCATTGTTACGTGTGAGAGCATCTGTCGCACCGGCTCTTGTACTCTCCTGCGCCGACTTTTTATTTATATAGTCTTTTTCTTTATTTAGTCTAAATTTTACACATGAAATAATATGGAGTAAGTTTATATGTCTATAAAAATACCCTAATTAATATTAAATTACTTCATGAATGACCTATTTACAACTGTACAAGTTTTCGACTTTTAGTGGAATAGTTGATAATAATTAAAATAATACTTTTATAAACACGCGTTTGTGACTCCTGAGTTGCAGACGTTCATGGGCTGCGATGATCACTTTCCATCAGGTGCCTGCTGTGCGCTCGTCTGCCCCCTCTATCATAAAATAAAATATCATAATGATGTGAGAGCAATTAAGAAACCAAAATAATTAATAAAATAAAAGTTATTTAAAATGCTAAGAAATGGAGTAGGTAGTTGAATTAATCATTTTTAAAATCTTAATCGGGTTGTGTTTTTTTTTAATTTAAAGTTTTATTTATTTATTGATACCTACTTCTTGCAATTATATTATATAACAAAAATACCATATAATTTAAACAAAAAAAAAGTTATTACATTTTTATCAGTTTCACATGTTGATTTGGATTTTTATTTTATTTTGAACATGAAAACGACACGTGTTTTTTAATAATATGTTTTTTTAGTTAATTTTAGTAAAATAAACTAATAATTGTTGTTAACATGAAACTGATACTATATTGACCTCATTAAACTCTTAGATACCTGGCCTGTTGATCTAGTGGTAAACTGATCTTGACTGCGAAATCATAGGCAGTAAGTTCGATACCCACTCAGGTCAAATATTTTTTTAATGAGCGCGATTTTTTGTTTTGTACTTGGGTATCATTTATCTGTAATTTGTATGTCTTTAGTAATATTTAGGTATGTTTATCAGTATCCTGGCCACCACAGTACAAGCTCTGACTAGTTTGGAATGAGACGGCCCTATGTGAGATTTGACAAATTATTATTGTTATCAGATATACGTTGACCATTATATTATGTACAACTTTGTCGTAAGTGACATCATTACATGGATTGTGCGTCACGAAATTTGCCTTCGACCTCAGATTGAACCTGTCTCGGGTTTGTTATGTTGTGGTGTTTTAAGATAAACTTAGTTTAGTCGAAAACTTTTTATGGGTGGAAATCTTCTTGGGTTTGCCACGCCGAGCGTTTAGATACAGTTCATAATAATATCAGACCAACGCAGAGGATGCATGACATCCATGAGGGATGTCATGCATCCTCTGCAGAATGGGAAGTGAAATGGGATGTGTCTTTTCCCTTTTTCAACCCATCAGAAGTAGTGGACTTGATTCCTACTCAGTACAAATATCAATGCGTCATGGTTATTCTAATAAAATGATATTATTATATCATAAATATTCATACACTAGCTTTTGCAGGCGACTCCGCCTACGCGTATGCCGTTCTCGCTTTAATAATAATAGTTTGAAAAATCTAAAAAACACGCTTTTTATAGAAAACCAAACTAAATAATAGAAATTAAATTTGAAAAATTAAGCGTTGGGTGCCTGTTGTCAATAGTAATAAGCACCCCACGCTTTTTTTTTCAAATTTATTAAAAAAGAAATATTTTTATTTTTAATTTAAACTAGTATATTGTCATCGGTCCTCGATATATCTACAAAGTTTGAACGACTTCTGACCGCTTAAAGTCAGTCAAAATCACGCCCAAAGGAGTCGGTTACAAACAAACATACAGATGAAGCTAATAAAAAGCGTGTAAAAAGTATCCTGTGTTACTCGCTGATAATGTAGCTTTCCATTGGTGAAATAAACTACTCACTTTCTCATTTATTATCTAGTGGATGCTTCTACGTTTTTTTCTAGCCCAAGAATCATCACATCTAGGTGTTATATAAAATAAAAGTATTCACTAAAGGATAAAATTGATTTCATGGTACAAATAACGTTTAAAAATTAAGGTGCATTTAGTACAAAGCTGTCTTAAGACATTACAAACAAAATCTCCTATTTTATTTACTTGTATAAGATGTATTAATAACTGTAGTCTTATGTATGTATGCAGTATTTTGTAATATAATCTTCAAAATATAATCAGTACCTACTGTGTTTGATTCCTATCTTCGCCTTGGAATATATGTCAGACTATGGAGTCTGGTATATATTTCCTCCGCTATTATTATGGTACTAAAGACCACGTTGGGGCATTGGCATCAACTTGTCCCTTAGTAACATTAAAATAAAAAGTACTTTATTTTAATAAACAAGTAGGTACTTATCATTTTTTAAACATTTTGCTGACAGCTATTAATTTAAGGCCTATTAAAGTAACTATTTACTCGAATTATATAAATCTGTAAAAAAACATGTCCAATGCTCAAGTAAGCTCTGAAGGTATCTTTAGGTATATGATTAAAGCATATCTGGCTAAGCCAACAAAACACACAGACAGTTATAATATCCGGTAAATACTATGAGATCTGTACTAATAGCCTAGTTAGTAAATTTTCCGACACCCTTTCAAAATTTTCATCCCCATCACCTGTATAATTGGCGCTCTACCACCTTGCGTGATCAAGACACTCGTTGCCTTCTCAACTAATCTGTGGAACAAGTTATCGTCTGTGGTATTTTCGGACCGATACGACCTTCAAACCTTTTAGAAAAAAGCGTACTCCTTCCCACAAATCCGGCAACGACTTTGTGACTACTGAGTTTGAGGCGTTCATGGTCTAGTCGTCTGCTATCTTTTACATAAAAAAAATAGTAGACCCAGAAGAAGACCTCCAACTGAAGAGACAGAAGTGTGTTGTCACATTTTGGGTAATCTAATAATAATAATAATGGTAAGGGTAAAAGGAGAGTGACACAATACCAACCAGTGTTATGTGAGGCTGAGATATCGCTCCGGTTGAGCTGGCCAATACAATACGAAGCATGGCTCTCCCTCGATGACAACAATAAAATATTTAACGGCCACATTACACTGTGTTCAAAAATATTTATTCAACAAAAATCTAACATACTTATATCTAACAAAAATAACAATTACACATATTATTAAATCCGATCTTAACTTACACTAACAATAACACACTAACACACACATATACAAAAGTAAAAAAAAACTAATCACAAAGCCACATTTTTTAATTCGTTTTAAATCTCCAATCCAACAATAATAGGGTGGCCCTATTACCCCATTAATGAGCGTACCCCAATAAAGATGACGGAATAATAAGCAGCTTCGGACTATTAATGCGCTTGCGCATCCTGTTACAAAGCACTGGGTTCTTTTGAATCAACGAGAGTTCCGTCTATAACAGGATGTTGATATTTTTTATGGCACGCTGTTAGATTAATTAATAAGTATTTTTATAATATGCAGGGAGTTAACGGCAGTTATATTATATAATTATTATGTATGTATACGGTAATTAACGCGATTACGTAATAGGTAGACTGCCTCGGTGGGTAGATCAGCAGAAGAAGAAGGTGCGTTCTTTAACGACTGTGGGTACCACTGAGACAGACAGCCAGTGGTCAGTCCAACCTGGTCGAAAAGTCAGGCAATATAAGGGTATATCACACCAGTTTTTCACACCAGTGTCACATGGGGCCGACCTACAAATAGTTAAGTTATACTCATTGACTTCTATGTTATCGATAAAATCACATATTTTATCTTACCCAATTGTAATGCATGTATTATTACTTAGTTAGAACCAAAGTGGCAAAGTAGACTTTAGTAGAGTATGTAATGCTTTCGTGTTTATTTATCTGTTTATTTCTTATGGATTACTACTAAACTTATTTGATTAAAACTAATAAAAAACTAATAATTAAAAAAAAAAAAAAAAAAGTTTTTACAAAATATTTTTTTTTCTACAGACATCTCGCATATCTTTACGTAGTATAAAATGAAGTCGCTTTTTGTGTACGCTTACATCTTTTAAACTACGCAACGGATATTTATGCGATTTTCATCAATAGAGCGAGTGATTCAAAAGGCGGGTTAAAACAAACGATGGTATATGTCTATCTCTTAAAGATAACCCTTTTTATCTTTTACGTATTACAAAAAATGGTATTTACAAAGCTATTTTGAACAATACAGTACTGTTCCTTAGCCAAGTAAATACGTTAGATACGTTGTGTATTAAATATACAGCATAAATAGTTTAATTAATTACTCCACACTGACACTACATTAGGACTATCTACGAGTACACTACACCCATGAGAAGCCGGCGCGGATTGCTAGTAACTAATAAATAAATTATATTCGCTTTTAATCGCAAAATCGTTGAACTATTCAACTGAATATACAATTTGAAAATCTAAAAACGCATTAAGTCTAATCCAAACGAGTATAATTACTAACCATAAAACAGTCCAAAGT